CGGGCAGAGGTAATGAGGGTAAGAACCTCACTTGGAGAGAGAGGGGAAAAGGAGGTTAGTGTGTTGGTGGAAGGAAGGTCTGGTGACCCAGCGGTGAGTAAAGGTGAGTCAGAAAAAGAAGAGCGAATATCATTAACCTTTTTTTCAAAGTGGGTAACAAAGTCGCTTGACAGAAGTGAGGAGGGGGGAGGAGCTTTTGGAGGGTCCAAGAGGGTGGAGAAGATGGAAAATAGTTTTTTAGGATTGGAATAGGAAGATTGGATCTTATCTTGAAAGAAAGTGCTTTTTGCCTGAGAGATCGAAGCAGAGAAAGAGGAGAGGAGAGCTTGATAGGTTAGGAGGTCGTCACGGTGTTTGGATTTCCACCATTTCCGCTCTGCTGCCCTAAGGACGGTTCTATTAGCACGCAGTGCATCATTTAGCCAGGGAGCCGGAGGGGACTGACGAGCCTGCCGAGATGTCAGAGGACAGAGCGAGTCCAGAGTGGATGAGAGAGTAGAGAGGAGAGTTTCTGCAGCAGAGTTTGGAGGGCAGTAGTTGGAACGAATCAGAGGAAGGGAGGGCTGAGAGCACCGACGAGGCAAAGGTAGAGGGAGAGAGGGAGCGAAGGTTACGGCGGACAAGTGTAGGATGGGAAGAGATGAGTTTGTTATGTTTGGAAAGGGATAGAGAGAATGAAATGAAGAAGTGATCGGATGTGTGGAGCGGGTTTACAGAGAGGTTAGAAGTAGCGCAGTTCCTTGAGAATATGAGATCAAGGACATTGCCAGCTTTATGAGTCGGTGGGGACGGAGAGAGTGAGAAAGCAAAGGCGGTTAACAGAGATGTTAGTTCGTCTATCTTCCCCATCTGGAGGTTGAAGTCTCCGAGAAGTACAGCGGGAGGGCCAGTTTCAGGGATGTGTGAGAGGAGATGATCTAATTCCTCCAAGAAGTCCCCCAAGGCGCCTGGTGGACGGTAGAGAACAACAATGGTTAACTGTATAGGATGGGTTTACTGTGACGGCATGGAATTCAAAGGTGGAAGGAGTGAAGTTAGGGTAGCTTGAAGAGGGAAAAGCTCCATTTGGGAGAGAGCAGGAGACCAGTGCCACCCTCCTCTGCCAGTGGGTCTGGGTGTATGGGAGAAGGAATATGCAGTGGAGAGAGCTGCTGGGGTGGATGTGTTGGATGGAGTAATCCAGGTCTCAGTGAGACCATTAGCCAATCAGCAACCAAGGTAACCCCCCCCCCCCCCCCCACCTTATCACCTGAATCTCCTCCTAGAGCACCATTGAGTTCTTTGTAACCAAATGTCTCTCAGAGGGGCGTGGGGAGGGGCTCCTTATTTTCATCTAAAGTAACAGACAGAGAATCATCACTTTGGAAACAGGGCTGAAACAGAGGGGATTATGGGTAATGCTGCAATGATCTGTTTGGTGTTTCAGCCAATCAGAGACAGGCTCTGGATATATCTGAGACCTGTGATATATTGATGAAAAACAGTATAATAGGAGACCTTTAAAATAATATTATTTTTTCAAGTTTGAAGGTTCATGTCCAATTTTTATGAATACAAATATATTGTACCTTATGACAGTTTCCTGTTTTATGTCAGACTTGCTAAGCAGTCCGCTACAATGACTAGGAAAACACTACAAACTATGTGTAATGTTTAACAAAATCCATTAGCAACCAAAGCGGTTGTATTATTCCAGTGTGTGGTATAAGCTTTGATTTCCGTTAGGTGGTACGTAGGTGTTGTTGCCAGATGTTGTTTGTGATTAATTTCTTAATCCCTCATTAATGTTAGTTGACTTCTTCACCTAAACATGGCAGAGTGTTATCCCTAACACTGAAAGTATCTTGTTGACATGGCAGTAAAGGAGCTTAAAGGTCCCGTGTCATGGTCATTTCTACTAATTATAATTCCACTGTTGAGGTCGACTAGAATAGATTTACATTGTTCAATTTTCCAAACTCACATTGGTTTCATACAGCATCTCTGTATAGTATGTGTATTCACTCTGTCCTAAATGGCTTGTTGGAGCTCCTGCCCCCCCCCCTCCCTGTGAGCCCAGTGTGCTCTGATTGGTCGGGACGTTGCGAGGCTCTTTGCTGCGAGGAGCGGACAGGTTTCCGGGTCGGCGATACAGAGAGACACAGCGAAACTCATCCTGAGCACACACACTCACAGCCGAAGTAAAAACAATAAGTGTGGCTTGATATTGAGAAAGAAAAAGGTTTATTATAACGCTGTGAGAATGGGTCTGCGGAGAGCATTTCTCCGCCATCCCAACTCGTCTATTACCAACGTTCAGGGAGCTCTATGCAAGTCAATGGGACTCCCTGTTAGTTAGCCAAGGGATCCTGGTGTGTGAGGGGCTCCGCGGATTGGTCCATTTGGGCCAATCCGGTCATTTGTTGTTGATGTGGGAGTTCACACGTCACAGAACCCAGGAAGCAAACAATGGAAAAAGAGAAATGTCCAACGAGGCGTTCTGGGGCAGCACAGACAGGTCTTCTCTGTGTTAGAGTTGTACTCGCTACAGGGTGCACTTTGAGGGTTTGTGACTCTGCAGACCGTTTACATGCAGAAAAACCTTCATAACACAAGGGGACGGGTGATAACCAGAAAAGCATGACATGGGACCTTTAAAGTGTAAAACAAACTGTACGCGTGACTTTTGTGTGGCGTCAAAGACCCCAATAACATTTAGCTGATTCAACAAATACTTTTACTGGATACACTATGTGCTATCTCTGCAACACTCAAACAGGAGTGAGTTAGTTTGCTAATCTAATCACACAGCAACATTTTGATTTTGAGAAATCTCCTGGGGAAACCCTGTGTTTTTGCTTGATAGGAATGGCCGTTGTGTAACGCTATAGGTTTCTGCATAGGTACACAAATGGCCTCGCCTCAATATAACAAAGCAGAGTGGTTTCACAGCTGCACCTTTTCCAGAAACATTTCCGCGAGAGGTTCAGGAATTCTAGATTCCACCGAGAGAGGAAACTGCTTTAGAAAGTATGTTTGCCCTAAGCAAAGCATAATCATTTTGGGCAGGTTTTCAAGGGAGTTTTAACTTCCAATCAGCAAGAGAGAGGATCAGATCAGGCAAGTGTAGTGCAGTGATTTCAACAGTGTATACAGTAGCATTGGCCAGCATCATTGCACATGCCTACAACTTTAACTGTACATGTTGCTAGCCAAATATACTTTCATGTGTGACAAAGCTTGATTTTGAAAAACGTTGCTCCATTGCACATTAGATTCATATTGGCAGGTAAAAAGCAAAGATTATGAGTTGTTAGACTACGTCTGTGACCACTTCTGAGTTTTAATACAGCTTAAAACACTGTAAACATTACTATAATAGTGATTGTCTGTATTTATGGTATGTTTGTCTAGTGCCCTGGCCTGTGTGATGGTGTATCTGTCTTTAAGCAACATCTCTACAGGAGGCGACATTGATTAAGGCTGGCCATTGATTTGACAGGCCTCTGCTTCCTCTCTCCCTCCGACCAGGAAAAAAACATCTTCAAATATACATCAATAAATGACATTCAGTTGACACTTTCTATCCAAAATCCAAAGAGACTTATCTACACTATTAGCCATGCCTACACATTGTAGATTAGTATTTAGTCTGAGGACACTTCAATCTAGACTAGTGACCCTCTGATTGGTAGACGACTACCTTACTCACAACCACAGTATGTCTGACTCTGTATAATGAAGTACATTCAAAAAGCACCACAAACTACATCCTACAAATCCTCAAGTTGAATCAACACCTCTTAAACAATATTTATGGAAGTGTCTCCCAGATAAAGGGTAGTCAGCCCAATCTTGGCTGAAGCTTGCTGTAGTTTTGCATCAACTAAGGTGCAATTTCTACTTAAATATCAAAATGTGAGACTTATGCCTATTTTATCCCCTTTTTTTTTAAATCCCAGCCCCGAGTTGCTGTTAGTGTCCAATTTGTAAATGGATTTTGCTGTGTTCATGTATTATTGTTATGTCTGGTAGCATGCTGTTTCTCCTAGTGAAGGGTGTACTCTTCCACACTTTTTTAAACCTTCCTAAATTCAGCATGAGTTACTTGCCCTCAAATCTCCACTGTGTTAAATAACCTTCCTAAGAGTTTCCCACATGGCCTCTCTTTGTAATGACGGCACTTTGAGTAAAGGTCGGAAAAGTGGGTCGGCCTCTCTGGCCCAGATCTTAACCGATTTGGGGTCTACCTTGAGGGCGGAATAGTCTTTTTGCTCCAATTTTAAAACTTTGTAAAAGTTAAATGTGGTGTCCCTCAGGAGTCGATCCCTGGTCCCCTTTTTATCCCAACTCTGCTAATTGGCATACTTAGGCAGAAGACACACAACTTAAAATATCATTCTCTAACAGAGACCTGATTAAGTTTAGTGAAGTCTTCAACATGTGCCTCATGCATAATGTTTCAAAGTGCAGACATTGAAGAACATAGAGATAAGACGTACAAGAAAACGTTTACTCAACATGTTTTTGGAATCAGAAAAATGACAAGAAGATTTGACAACACTGTTTGGTTTTGTTAAAAATTAAGAGGACATATATATTCTCTAAAAGCAATCCCACACTGGTCCATTTCATTAATATTAATAATAATGAAATGTAATAGAGAGCTTTCAAGTCCTAAATGGTCTGGTTTCATAAAAGAAACTTACTGGAAAATAATTGAACGCAATTAATGTCTGAAATATTTTATACATTCTGATATTTTATGCCCTTATAGGACTTTTCTTTTTTTATTCCTTCGTATTAACGAGTTTGCATATGTGAAATTATTATGGGACATCATACTGCAACTTTTGATGACTTTTTTCAGACATGCTATAATATGACATCACTATAAAATATCCTAATTCATTCATTCACTTTTTATTATTACTTTCGTTTTTTTTCGACATACTATACAATTAATACGTTATAAAAGATAATGAAATTACGGACAAATGTACGTGTGTGTGTGTTTTACCTTTCTGTGTAACACAGCATTGAGGAAGTCGTGGGCCTGTCTCTCCAGCCGGCTGATCCGAGACGGCTCCGACAGCACCTGGCTGCCTCCACCTTTCTCTGCGCTGTGCTCCTATAGATACATAAGAGAAAAGAGTGTGTTAAGGCAAGTTCTGTCCAAAACATAAACCCCTCACACACCAATACACCACATGTTAAAACCCCCAGTTGTATTGTATATTGTGTAGATGTGAGCCTTCATAAGAGCCTGCTGCAGCTATGTGCAAATTTTTCCATCTTTCCAAACGCATTTTAGGAGTTCTGGTTCCCTTAAAGTTTTAATATGTTTATGTTTATATGCCTGAAAGAAGATCTGCGGTTAATACAAGCTGAAGAGATTTTAACATTTTGTCCTACGACATAAAATACGTCAGTAAATACCCCACTGTTGAATTTAAAAAACAGCGTTAACATTAGCCGCTTTTAGCTTCCCGGTGGTGACGTGAAGTCATGTGACCGTGCTGTAGTTCCTTTATAGCCCAACATTAGCCTCCTTTAGCTTAGCGGTGGTGACGTGAAGTCATGTGACCGTTCTGTAGTTCCTTTATAGCCCAACATTAGCCGCCTTTAGCTTAGCGGTGGTGACGTGAAGTCATGTGACCGTGCTGTAGTTCCTTTATAGCCCAACATTAGCCTCCTTTAGCTTAGCGGTGGTGACGTGAAGTCATGTGACCGTTCTGTAGTTCCTTTATAGCCCAACATTAGCCACCTTTAGCTTAGCGGTGGTGACGTGAAGTCATGTGACCGTGCTGTAGTTCCTTTATAGCCCAACATTAGCCGCTTTTAGCTTAGCGGTGGTGACGTGAAGTCGTGACCGTGCTGTAGTTCCTTTATAGCCCAACATTAGCCTCCTTTAGCTTAGCGGTGGTGACGTGAAGTCATGTGACCGTTCTGTAGTTCCTTTATAGCCCAACATTAGCCACCTTTAGCTTAGCGGCGATGACGTGAAGTCATGTGACCGTGCTGTAGTTCCTTTATAGCCCAACATTAGCCTCCTTTAGCTTAGCGGTGGTGACGTGAAGTCATGTGACCGTTCTGTAGTTCCTTTATAGCCCAACATTAGCCTCCTTTAGCTTAGCGGTGGTGACGTGAAGTCATGTGACCGTTCTGTAGTTCCTTTATAGCCCAACATTAGCCACCTTTAGCTTAGGCGGTGGTGACGTGAAGTCATGTGACCGTGCTGTAGTTCCTTTATAGCCCAACATTAGCCTCCTTTAGCTTAGCGGTGGTGACGTGAAGTCATGTGACCGTGCTGTAGTTCCTTTATAGCCCAACATTAGCCGCTTTTAGCTTAGCGGTGGTGATGTGAAGTCATGTGACCGTTCTGTAGTTCCTTTATAGCCCAACATTAGCCACCTTTAGCTTAGCGGCGGTGACGTGAAGTCATGTGACCGTGCTGTAGTTCCTTTATAGCCCAACATTAGCCGCTTTTAGCTTAGCGGTGGTGATGTGAAGTCATGTGACCGTGCTGTAGTTCCTTTATAGCCCAACATTAGCCGCTTTTAGATTAGCGGTGGTGACGTGAAGTCATGTGACCGTTCTGTAGTTCCTTTATAGCCCAACATTAGCCACCTTTAGCTTAGCGGCGATGACGTGAAGTCATGTGACCGTGCTGTAGTTCCTTTATAGCCCAACGTTAGCTTTTTACTTCAAAAATCCCAAAATGGATCTAATATGTAGAGATGAATCTGCTGAACAAAACGTGTAAGTATCATAAACGTGTGTTTGCCACAGATTTTCTGAAATATTCCGAAATCCATATTTTAGCCGAGGGAAACGGGGAGATGCTAACTTCAGGGTCGGCCTACAAAAATCCATCTCCACTGCTCCACTCTGTTGACAGTACAGGGAGAAGTGGTGTCTCAATTCTCTTCTTTTCTATCTGGCAGCCAATCAAACGGCTTCCTCAGGATATCCAAGGTCTCAGGCCTGGCGAGACTCCGCTAGCAGCCGCTAAGAGGAAATGTGTATTCAGCTTTTAAATCTAAAGGGCTTAATAACAATGTGAGTGTGTGTTGCCATTGTCTTCATTAGCAGGGAATTTGGGTACGTCTGTTTACGTGAATGTCAACACTCTGAGATGTGTGTTTCAGTATTCCTGCCTTTCTTTGTTTCTCTTTTGCTTGCATGGCTTCAGATCAAAGAATCAATGATTCCCGCCCACCGACGCTCCTCTGGCATTTCACAAAAAAGCGGAGGGTAATAACAGAGAGGTCGGGAGAGCTTTCAAGCCCTAACACATGAATACGCGATCGTATTGAGCGAATACAAATAAATCTGCTGCAAATGTTGCCTTATTATTCCCCCTTATTAGGACGTGCACACTGCAAGTAGCTAACATCATTATTGACCAGTCAGACAATGCTGCAAATATCCTGTAATTCCTGCCAGGCTTTGGTAAATTGATTTCATTCTGTTGATTGTTTTTGCTCGTTAGGATCATGAGTAATTACTGTATTACACGCAGAAACATTGTTGTATTTTATATTCACCCAGAGTGCCTGTAGCAACAATACTGTGTTGTTGTGCTTTATTAGCATGAGCAGATGGGGCTGATGGGGGGGGGGGGGTTGGTGGAGACGTAAGGATGTTTTTAGGAGACAGATGGCCGACCCCGCAGGTCGCACCAGGGTCAAGTTGAAAAACAAGCAACGGCCGAGGGAAGGACGCCCCTCCTAACTTCCTTCCCTCCCTCGTTCACTCGCTCAATCACATCCCAAAAATAAAGACGGAAATAACGGACAAAGAAGTCCTTAAAAAGTCATCCGAGGAGGGAAGGCAAACTCCCTCCGATGATAAAGACCGTATGAATAAGCGAGTATGTTGTCATAAGGGCACATACATCGGTTTATCTAATCTTACATTCTGCTTTATTTGTATTCTATTTTAAATTTATAAAGATATTTCTGCATTTATTTTCACTTATAGGTTTACTCCCTTAGTGGTTATTACTCTACATTATTTACTATTCTCTGTTAGTTTCAAATCCTAAATTGGGTAATTTCATACCAACATGAATGGATGATGATGCAAACATTATGTATAACTAATTATATGGAACTATGTTTGATGCTGAATGCGAAAAAAACTATATTTTTTAAAAGAAAAAAGTTAATTTCTTTTCAATTCCAGATTAAATGAGCAGATGTGTTTTGTTTGCGTCAAAATGTTGTCTTTTTGAAATGAAGAAAAAAATAATCAGTGCATGTTACTATCAATATTGGAATTAATTGAATTGAAGAGCATGTGATAAGATCACAAAAGTTAATTAAGGAAGAGTGACTATGATCCATTTTTTATCACTGAGAAGCAGGTACCACAACATCCATGTTTGTGTGTGTGTGTGTGTGTGTGTGTGTGCTTGTACGTGTTTGTGTGTGTGTGTGTGTGTGTGTGTGTGTGTGTGTGTGTGGCCTAGCATTACTATACTTGTGGGGACCTAAATATGTTTACACAGTCACGTGTGGGGACTCTCCGCCCTTATGGGGACAAAATGGAGGTCCCCATGAGGGGAATCATTAATTTTAGGGTGAAGACTTGGTTAGGGTTAGGCATGTGTTGGTTATGGTTAAGGTTAGGATAATCTCCAGGAAATGAATGTAATGTCCCCTGAAGTGATGTATACATGGTATGTGTGTGTGCGTGTGTGTGTGTGATACACTCATTATTATTCTGCTCCCATCACTTTTCATCCCAATGAGAAATTCTGAGAGGAGGCACCGGACGCTATGCTGCTGTGGGAGTCTCACTAATTTACACCCATGTCACCATCCTACACACACACACACACACACACACACACACACACACACACACACACACACACACACACACACACACACACACACACACACACACACACACACACACACACACACACACACACACACACACACACACACACACACACACACACACACACACACACACACACACACACACACACACACACACACACACACACCTCAAAATCATTGTGTTGCGCTCCTTTCATAAGCTAAATTGGGGTCAAGACCATGGTGGTTGAACAACACAAATGACAAACATGTAGGAGGAGGAGGAGACAAAAACTATTTGGAGCCTCGAACAAAAAGCTAAAGACAGACGACGGACAAAAACAGAAGAGAAAAAATATGGAACATTTGTATAACATGTTTTGGGCTTGAAGGAATAATTTATATTTGATGGAATATACACTTACAAAAATGTCCTCAGAAACTAAATAAATCCGTTTAGTTTTACATTATAATGAAACATCTTCTATCAAACATACGACGGTAAAGAAAGCACTGAAGATGGTTTTCAATTGTATTGTGTTTTTTACCCATTATCCATATTCTCTTTATATTTTATTCAAGACTGTCTTTAATTTAATTTAGATACTGATGATTATTTGATTGTACGCCTTTCTATAAAGATTACATTTTTTGGTATGTTAATTTGCTTTCTTAGCATCGACTCAAAGCAGGAGGAGCCTAATCACCTAGGTCTTAATAAACTTTGATAAATATACATTTTACATAATTAGCATTTATAGTTTTGTCTACTCCCATTATTTTATAAAACATATCAAATTTGAGCAAAACGTCGTATCTGCTAAATTGATTATAGCACTGCAGCATGGATATGTGGATTATTGTCTGACCGGAAGTAGAAATGTTGTGACGTGTCATACCCATGGATGTATAATAAGAAGTGGATACAGCGTGGGAGGCGGGGCCTCGTTCATTCCTATGAGAGTTGCTCATTGGCGCATGAAGACAAAATGGCCCAACTTTTGAGAGCGAAACGTCACGAAAGTAATCATATAATAATATCATCCGTCCTTATTGTGCATCCATGGGTAAAGGTAAAACTCACGTAGTACTGAACACGTCACATGAACGTGCCGGGCGGCGCGGTCCCGTGGGTTGGTTCCGCGTTCATAATGCCGAGGAGAATAACTCTCAGAATAACGTTATTAGCACATTTTACAACTTGAGGACCGAGTGTTTTTAATAAGGGCTATACAAGTGTTCATACTGGGTAGTTTATTTAGTTTAAAAAAAAATTCGTCTCTTTCCCAATGTTAGTCAATGGGAAAAAGTGTTTCCGGGCCCGGCGACTGATACGGAAGTTTAGTACCGCCGTTTGGCCACAACGAATATTTTCCTCGGTGTCCGGCGCACTTCCTGGGGGCTTGGTCATACCTTGACTTTCTCGCGTCTTAAGCAGCAGAAGAGACAGTTGTCATCGAAGGACCAGTCCGACACTTCCTCCGGCTCGCAGTCTGGAGAGAGGAGAGGAGACAAAGGAAACAGGTTTAATCTCAAATATATTGATTTTTATAATTTACTGACTTTTTTAATATGGATTTTTAAAGATAATTTGATAGATTTATTGATAATTTTTTTCAACATACTATACTATGATGTTTTTAATAACTTCATCATGATTTTCTCTTATGATATGACTTTTTGAGTTTTTACAACAAAATATATTGACTTTTAATGACTTTTTAATGATATGTAATAATATGACTTTTCATGATTGTTGTCGACAAATTGCAGACTCTTTAAAGATGTATTATAACTTTTTTGGACGTTCGACACTCTGACTTTCATGATTACAGATTGATTGTGACATCAGCTCTGTTACTTCTATATTAATTTATAATTGTGTCCTTTTGACATTTGGTATCACTGTTTATATTGAAGCTTTACATTGAATTGAATTAAGAGAGAGGACACTGCTGTTGACTTGGTTACAGCTGTTGCCATGGTGCTGCATTTCCTTTAAAAAAAAAAAAACCTCAATTCAGAGTGAAACCTCAGAGTGACCGAGACACAGAGAGAGAGAGAGAAGATACAGAAACACATTAACAAATCAATACGGTCACAATATACTGTGGACGTACAGACATTGGTCCAAACGGAGCTCAGGATAGAGAAAGAGGTTTAAAGAGGCCCTATTCTGCTTTTTGGGGTTTTCCCTTTCCTGTAGTGTGTCATAGGTTTGTGTGCATGTAAATGGTCTGCAAAGGCTAAAATCCCTGTGTTCTCTTAACGCCTCCATTGGACTCCTTTGTTTACTTCCTTAACATAGTGACATCACTATACAACAACGTATTGGCTAGCGCTCCAACACATTGTACGTGATAGGCTAAGGGGCGGGACATCTCTAAGTGGTTGACCAATCGCAACAGAGCCGGCCAGCTAACCAATCAGAGCAGACTTGGCTCTGGTTTCAGACGGAGGGTGAAAAGAGGTGCTGCAGCACAGAAAGTATGAGAACAATAAAGAGCTTTTTGAACATTAGATCATGGAGACATGTAGAGACACTACATACTGATATACACCTGAACATCAGCAGGAGAGGACTCTTTAAAGTAGAGACACTACATACTGATATACACCTGAACATCAGCAGGAGAGGACTCTTTAAAGTAGAGACACTACATACTGATATACACCTGAACATCAGCAGGAGAGGACTCTTTAAAGTAGAGACACTACATACTGATAAACACCAGAACATCAGCAGGAGAGGACTCTTTAAAGTAGAGACACTACATACTGATAGACACCTGAACATCAGCAGGAGAGGACTCTTTAAAGTAGAGATACTACATACTGATATACACCTGAGCATCAGCAGGAGAGGACTCTTTAAAGTAGAGACACTACATGCTGATATACACCTGAACATCAGCAGGAGAGGACTCTTTAAAGTAGAGACACTACATACTGATATACACCTGAACATCAGCAGGAGAGGACTCTTTAAAGTAGAGACACTACATACTGATAAACACCAGAACATCAGCAGGAGAGGACTCTTTAAAGTAGAGACACTACATACTGATATACACCTGAACACCAGCAGGAGAGGACTCTTTAAAGTAGAGACACTACATACTGATATACACCTGAACATCAGCAGGAGGGGACTCTTTAAAGTAAAGACACTGCATACTGATATACACCTGAACATCAGCAGGAGAGGACTCTTTAAAGTAGAGACACTACATACTGATATACACCTGAACATCAGCAGGAGAGGACTCTTTAAAATAGAGACACTACATACTGATATACACCTGAACATCAGCAGGAGAGGACTCTTTAAAGTAGAGACACTACATACTGATATACACCTGAACATCAGCAGGAGAGGACTCTTTAAAGTAGAGACACTACATACTGATAAACACCAGAACATCAGCAGGAGAGGACTCTTTAAAGTAGAGACACTACATACTGATATACACCTGAACACCAGCAGGAGAGGACTCTTTAAAGTAGAGACACTACATACTGATATACACCTGAACATCAGCAGGAGGGGACTCTTTAAAGTAAAGACACTGCATACTGATATACACCTGAACATCAGCAGGAGAGGACTCTTTAAAGTAGAGACACTACATACTGAAATACACCTGAACATCAGCAGGAGAGGACTCTTTAAAGTAGAGACACTACATACTGATATACACCTGAACATCAGCAGGAGAGGACTCTTTAAAGTAGAGACACTACATACTGAAATACACCTGAACATCAGCAGGAGAGGACTCTTTAAAGTAGAGATACTACATACTGATATACACCTGAACATCAGCAGGAGAGGACTCTTTAAAGTAGAGACACTACATACTGATATACACCTGAACATCAGCAGGAGAGGACTCTTTAAAGTAGAGACACTACATACTGATATACACCTGAACATCAGCAGGAGAGGACTCTTTAAAGTAGAGATACTACATACTGATATACACCTGAGCATCAGCAGGAGAGGACTCTTTAAAGTAGAGACACTGCATACTGATATACACCTGAACATCAGCAGGAGAGGACTCTTTAAAGTAGAGACACTGCATACTGATATACACCTGAACATCAGCAGGAGAGGACTCTTTAAAGTAGAGACACTGCATACTGATATACACCTGAAAATGCAACATGATCACACTGCTTCTATTAAACCTGGTTTTCACAGCAGCTCTTCTAGCAATTGCATACGTTTCTGTTATTTATATCATTTTGTCGTGTTCTTTATCATATGGCGGGCCACAGCTCTGGCTTTTCAAATCATATTCCTCACCTGTTTTTCCTGAGAGATGTGCGACCGATACAAATACATTTCGGTCACTCTCTCTTTCTCTGCTTCTGCGGCTGTAATGAACAGGTCAGAGGTCAGCTGTGTGTGAAACCTGTGGTTTTGTCGCTTACAATATACCCGAGAAGACGCCAATTAGCTTGAGTGCCCTGCAACCTGTGTGTGTGTGTGTGTGTGTGTGTGTGTGTGTGGTGTGTGTGTGTGTGTGTGTGTGTGTGTGTGTGTGTGTGTGTGTGTGTGTGTGTGTGTGTGTGTGGTGTGTGTGTGTGTGTGTGTGTGTGTGTGTGGTGTGTGTGTGTGTGTGTGTGTGTGTGTGTGTGTGTGTGTGTGTGGGAAGACGACACCGTCAACGCGATTTTTAAGTCGCCGTGTTTACATGCACTTAATCAACCAGGTGACTGTTTCTGCAAATGAAAAATAAAGTTTTCTTTAACCAACATTAAACCAGGTTAGCAAATGAAATACGTCGGCAGCAGGAAGTGGATTTACCTGCAATGTAGACGTGTGTCCGCAGTTGTTTTTGTGAGCTGGAAAATACTTCACAATAATCAGTGTGTCGGGGCTTTTAAAGGCTTGTTTTCCTGTCTGATTGATCCATATTTAAATGTATTGTTTTGCACCGTTGTTATATACCAAACGCTGGAAAAGCAATGCAGTATTTTTGATGAGGCTGAAGCTTTTGCACCATGAATAAATGCATCAACCAATCACATTGTGTATAAACTAACAACACGGCTCTACATACGGCAATCTTTATTGCTTTCAATCAGCTTCAGTAGGGATATTGAATATTTCTGCAGCAGGAAGTGAGTTTATCTGCAATATAGACATGTCTCAAGGTTTTGACACAGTTGTTATTGTGAGCTTGTGCTTGAAAATACTTCATACATGGAAATCAACAACGTGAAAACAGCGAGTATATATTATAATAATGAGTGTGTGGGGGCATCTTGTATCCAAAACAGCACAATTGATCAAAATGTAGATATTCAATTTATTATATACCAAGCGCAAATATCGAACGATGGAAATTACATTATTCTATAATAACGAGGCTGGTTTTTCGAATGAACGCATCAACGATTTTTTTTTCTTTCTCATACTGATATTCTGAACAATCTGTGCTGTTGTATTTGCTGTAAAGTGTCTGTACTGTAGGCTATTTTTATTCATATGTACAGCACTTTGACTCGACCAAAAATCGTTTATAAATGTGCTATATAAATAAAACTTGATTTGATTTGAACGAATGACGTTTTGTTATAGTATATATTTATATATCCTATTGTATAGTATAATATAAACGACAACACGGCTACATAGACCGCAGTCTTCATTACTTTTAACCTCGACATACCACACTGCCTACATTCTTTCACAATAAAAGCCCCGGGAAAATAATATTCTTCTCCAGGTATTTCGCCTTTTGTGTAAATCTGTTGTTCATTCTTTGTCTTTTTCCACAGCTATGGAGATAACGTGAAAACAACGTATCATATACATGCTTTCTTTCTCCCCGTCTGTTTGCCCTGCAATTATATCCATGGTAGTCCAGGTTAATAAATTATGCATTTATTAAGCCCTCTTCAAGTAGTTTTTGTTCGGAAATGTGTTGAGAATAGGTGAAATCAGTGTATGTGAGAGAAAAAGTAAGTAAGTTTCTCCACATGTTTGCTGAACTCCTCAGTGCTGCGTAAGCGTCTTATCGTCCGCAGGTTAAGACAAAACATAAATACACCACAACATTTTACTGTATGAAAATGAGTGATGATGGTGTGTTTCAGTGTGTGTCTGCAGCTCCGAATGTGAACAAGTGCCTGCTTTACTCTGAGAGATTGTGTGTGTGTTTGAGTGGAAGTGTAATGCATGAGTGAAAATGACGTAGACAAGCCAGAAATATTCTAAAAAATGCCTTAAGTTGGTGGGGGAGGGAGGTCACATGACTCCAGGACGGCAGGCTGACCTTGTTTCTCAGAGAGCGGGAGAGATCTGTACGTTTAGGCTGTTGGTCATTCTTGCTTTATTCTCATGGCGTTCCTTTTCTATTTGTGTCAGTTTACATTGAATCAGATCACATTTTTGGTCGCCATGTGTTAGGTTATATAAGTAAGTAGTATAAGTAATATATAAGCATTTACACATGGCTTCTGGGCTTTAAGCTGCCTAAATAACATATATGCGTATTCAGATTCTGTGCATTATAAAATGAGTGACCTATAAATAAATGACACATGCAGACACTGCAGACACACAAAACCGCTCTTATATCCTCCTGAGATCCAGATTGGTTTTATACATCACTTTAGGCCTGAACACATCAAGTGCTTTACAAAAAAGTGACACAAAAAAGCGAAAAACTGGCCTGTGAATAATTTGTGTATAGGAGTTTTATTCTGAAAGGTTCACGGTGCAGAGCTAAACAAATATCGACATAAGTCTTAAAAAAATACATCACTTTTGGCCAAGTATTTTTCACATTCTGTGTGAATTACTCTCTAGAAAAAGGACATTTAAATAAATATATTAAAGAGGTCCTTTTATGCTATTTTTCACGTTTATGTTTATATTAAGCCTGTTGTTCAGGCCTCAGGCTCGAAAATGACATTCCCAGAACAAATGACCATATCTTCTAAAAGGGTTACATTAATAATCTTTTTTCTCAAAGCAATGATAAACCTGTGAGTTGGATGTAGAAAAGTCAGAATCAATATAGATTGTTTTATTTTAAAGTAAATTCAGATTGAACATAGTAAAAAAATGTAAATTATAGTGTCCGTCCAAAAAATGTTTTATTTATAGTGAAAACCCTTGAATGATGGGATCTGAGACTAAAAGCTTTAGGAATCCAAACTATAACATATAATAAGTACCCTGTATCAAGATTGATGCAAAACAAGTGACATTTGACCTTTTTAGAGAGGTTTAGAAAAAGAAAACACCTCTGGGGTCATTTGGGTGGATTTTCCATATCTCTGGAATTGGTCGATTTTAGTGATGGACACCTCTTTTGAACCGTGAGAGCCAATAGAATCGAGGGGAGGTTCCTAAATCCACCTACATGTTACCATTGACAGTGAGAGTGATGCGCACGCAGTTTGCCCAAACCTAAAGCTACGTTACGCTCTGCAAACTGAAAACTAGGCTTATTGATCATAAATATGATGATGGATTATCAGTAATAATTGACAGACACATTGGATTAACCGTCAGCAGCGTTCATATGCGTTTTAATGCCATTGAACACAACTTGTGATCCGAAAACAGCAACGGTAAGAGTTATTTGCCGTTTTGGCTACGTAAAGTGGAGTTGTGTGTTGTCTTTGCTTGCTTTCGCTGCCGTGAGTTTTGGTCGCTCAGTGATGACACTTATACCGTTGGAATCTGTGGAATCTCAGCTTTCATATGGAATATTGTTTGTGCAGATCCGATGAAGTATAAAAGATCGCTAACGTGAGTTACTGTATGTGCTAAGTGCGTTAGCATTCTTTTGTTTATTGCTAATTCAGAGGCTCGGCGTTAGACTTGTGTTCTGTTTCGGTACAAATGGTTCATATCGCCAGGTAGCTGAGTTTCTTCCCGTTAAGTGAGTATGACACATTCATAGTTTGTTAAATGTTAAGAAGCCCTCAGATGCTGTTTCTTGCCAAAAGTTGCGGGTCTCCCGGGTTTAACAGTGTCTCTACTGGGACATGTCTCCATGCTTTAATGTTCAAAAAGCTCTTTATTGTTCTCATACTGTCTGTGCTGCAGCACCTCTTTTCACCCTCTGTCTGAAACCAGAGCCCAGTCTGCTCTGATTGGTTAGCTGACCGGCTCTGTTGTGATTGGTCAACCACTTAGAGATGTCCCGCCCCTTAGCCAATCGTACAATATGTTGGAGCGCTAGCCAATACATTGTTTTATAGTGATGTCACATGTTCCAGAAGTAAACCAAGGAGTCCAATGGAGGGATATTTTAGCCTTTGCAGACGCACACTAACCTATATAACACACTACAGGAGAGCATAATAATCAGGGGTGCACATGACTTTTTTGCCCTGGTTCTCAAAGGAGCACCTGGAGATGTTGCTTGGTGCTCATCCTTAAAATGAAATAAACCGTAACTTTTGAGGGGGTCTTGACTTTATTTGCCAGACACACGGCACTGAACACACAGAGGTGAACACAGAACACACATGCAGAGGTGAACACAGAACACACATGCAGAGGTGAACACAAGACAACATTAGCACGACCAGTAATCCTACAAGCTGTCATCACTACCCTCCTGACTGTTCTCCTCTCTGTCTTCCTCTCTGTCAGACATGGTAGCTGATGATGTAGGCCTACTTCTTTCTCTCTGGTTGAGTCTGTGATTAGCTGCTTGCATCCACAAGTCAACAGCTGGTTTTGGGTCGAAAGTCTCTGTTGTGATCTTAGACAAGTAAATGTAATCAAATAAGTATGTGAACATAACCAATAACCTACCATAGCCAATAACAAATGAATGTAACTTATTTTATTTGTGTTGTTCATTCATATCTTATTTTACCTTAACATTTATTTATTTATGCATTTTTTTTTATCTCTCCAGTTTTAAAGGATATTTTTGGTTACTGTCCTATAGTATACATTGGAATGATTTCAAACCTGTTTATCCCAATAATTATAAAGGAGTGCCTTGGAAATATGTGTTTACATAAATTGCGACCAAACCGTTTGAACTTAGACTTTACCTCACTGAGCTGTAGTTATCAGTCTGACTGGAGAGGACTCTCCCTCCACATTATTGTAGAAACATCTTCTTCTTATATCCATTAGAGCAGCTAGCACGGCACCAGATTCTAATAACAACAGCGCTGGTACCGGTGCACCCTCCCTCGCTCACTCGCATTTTGGCTGTGAGCTGCAGGCGCCAGATAAGCCAACATCCCCCATTTTCATCACTTACAGCGCCCATCGTACAGGGCAAATGAAACGTGTAACCGGGGTGAAAAGGGTTTACTTAATTATGAATATTGTTACATCAAGGCCGAAAATTAGGATGAGCCCCAACGGTCAAAATGTTTTTTTTCCCTCCCAGAGCTGCCAGCGCAGCGCCTCCACAGATCTGGCGCCCTAGGCGAACATCTAGCCAGTGCTACGGGCCGGCCCTGAGTTCATATCATGGTTCATACATGTATGCAACTCGCAAATATCGTTCTCTCTCTCTCTTCTCTCTTCTCTCTTCTCTCTCCTCTATTTTCTCTTCTCCCTTCCCTCTCTCTCAATGTTGGTACGCAAATGCACTTTGTTTCAAATGACCCGGTGCTCTTTTTTTGGCGGAGGTGCGCATGCGCACCTGCGCACCAGTTATGTGCAGCCCTGATAATAATGCCTCTTTAACAGTCTAACTTGGGTGCTGTTTGGAAATATAACTTATTATTTCCAAGTAAACCAAGTGTGAGGAAGCACACACACTCCCTCACTAACATGTTGGTCTTAACTATTTGTTTGTTAAGAAAGGTAATACATGTTTTTTTCTGAGTTGTCTTTATTTCAGTTAAAGTTATAAAAACAGTTTACGTAGACAAACTAATAAAATGCGTCTAAATTCGTCAGTCTGTAAAACACACAAGCACCAAGTAATCACCATTTCCTTTGTTCAGACCTGGAGGCCATCTTGTCCCAGTGCTCAAAGGGGGAGCACGCCTCCAAAGTACTCCTTATATGTGCCGTATGAGTAGGCGGAGTCTTGGACGCGATTGGTCAGGAAATGTGTGATTTTACGAGTGTCAATTAGGTTAAAAACTATCCGTTTTAAGCAGACCTGGTTGTTCTTGAAGGTATAATATTTATGGCGATGCAATAATGAATTTACTTAAGCCTTTAGGGTTTTATTAAAGGTAGACAACAGTGTTTAATTTTGTATTTAACCCTTCACTCCACTTTCAGAACCATGACCTGATTGGCCAGGTTGGAGTGGGAAGGCGGGCAGTCTCCTATAAATGTGGTTGGGAAGAGAGGGGAAGGGGCATTCGTTTTGTGTTTGTTCCTTGCTGGTGAACGCAGCTCCAGGCATGCAGTTTGTGTTTCTGTGGAATAATGTGGAAGGCTAAGAATAAAACGCCTGTTTATTTTTTGCAAGAAAACCCTTTCTCCACGTATTGTTCTTTCACCTGCACCTCACATCGTACCACAAAGGTCTTTTGTTTCATTGAACCCTCATCTTTTGAGCCGTCTGTGGGGGCCTCCTTTTCTCTGAGTTGCCTCTTAAATAAAAAAGGTCTACATTTAAATTAAAATGTAAGGAACATCTATGGTGAACATCTATGACGTCGGTCGTCACCTGTGTCAGAAACCCAACACCAGAGCAGACAGACTTGTTGTTCTGGAAAGCAGCTTCTGTATGTCACTCTCTGACTCCTCAGTCTGCTTTAAAATAAGCATTTTAGTGTTTTTAAGAACAGACAACGAGAGCATCAGAAACCAGCTTCTTGTTTTTCTTTCTCGACATCCATCAGGATTTTCCAGCATGCCATATTTGGCATAAATTACACATGGCCGTCGTATGAACTAATCACATTGTTATGTATTCTAAGCTGTTCTGGCAGTATTGTCAATTATGTTGGCATGGCAATACATGTCTGTAAGTATCGTATTGTATTGATTAATAGATAAGGAAGCACTGTTTATTGTTATTCTGGTATATTCCTCCATATTGTTATTCTGGTATATTCCTCCATATTGTTATTCTAGTATATTCCTCCATATTGTTATTCTGGTATATTCCTCCATATTGTTTCTCACACTGAGTCCAAAGTATGCTCGTTTTAAAGCCTTAAATGAAACCATACATGTACGAAAAACACTTTTTCACAAGATATAGGAAAACTGAATCAATGTAATAATTGGCAGAAAAACTTCAATATTGTTTTACAGATTTATTTTCCTTATTGATTTGTTTGTTAGATGTTCTTCGTATTTACAGTTTTTGGTCATTTATGTGTCATAAGTTAAGATTTTTGAACATTAATTAGTAATTTTTGTTCAAAATAAGGTTGTTTTTTTATTTAAAATAAGTGGAACTGCATTTTTGTTTGTGTTTGTGTTTGTTTACCTTGGAAAAGAGTGATATCGTTGACTAGTCCCGGCCCAAACAAGCCTTCCAAGATGCTTTCAAAGCCTACGGGGAAAAAGAGATGTGATGTTAATGCAAGAGGACATGTTTGATATCAGAACAACAAAATGACAGCAGCTTAAATACTACATAACACAAACGCCGCAAGGAAGCTGTCAAACTGCAAGTTAAAGCATTTTGGAGACGTTATTTCATCTTTTGAAGGGTTAGGAACATAAACAACAAAGTGCTTTTCCCATAGGGTTTATTTTGCTGATGCACAGCCCCCACTGCAACCTCAAAATCAAAATGAAAAATATAAAAGATAACCGCACAAAGCCGTTTTCAATCTGAAATGTGAAGGGTGTAAATATTTGTTTTTAATATTGGAAACTAATCCGAAAAAAATTCACATTCTTTCAGACAATGGAGCTGTTTTTACACACACACACACACACACACACACACACACACACACACACACACACACACACACACACACACACACACACACACACACACACACACACACACACACACACACACACACACACACACACACACACACACACACACACACATCACACACACACACACACACACACACACACACACACACACACACACACACACACACACACACACACACACACACACACACACACACACACACACACACACACACACACACACACACACACACACACACACACACACACACACACACACACACACACACACACACACACAGTTGTGCCGAGGCTTTTAATTAAGGCACACACAAACAGAAAAAACACATGAGGTTGGGCAAGCTCATATTATTCATATACACTGACAATAGACCCACACACACATGTGCACCTACACACACACACACACACACACACACACACACACAAACACACACTTTTTTGCCTTCATATCATTTGAAGCAAATTAGCGCTTTACCTCTAATACACCAGGCTAATCTCACTCACTTTTTTTATTAACTGTACATACACCTCGCTCTGCTGTTGCCTGGCAACCACATACAGCGAAACATAAATACATATTGCAATTTTCAAACTGACCCCCCCCCCTCCCCCCACCTTCCTCACCTCCTCCCCCCCCCCCCCCCCCACCTCATCCTCCATTAAAGGGAGATGGAGAAAGGGAGACAAAGACACGTGGATATGTGGATGTTGTGTGTGTGTGTGTTTGTGTGTTTGTCTGTGTGCATTTTTGCATGGAACAGAAAAGGTTACTGGAGCAAAGACACACACACACACAGTCACACACACACAGTTCAAGTGTAGCCACTTGTCAGGCCACATAATTAACACTGCAGGAATATATTAGCCGTGGAAAAAAACAGCCTGTGACAAAATGTATTCCTCTGTTATCAAAATATTACGGTCGTCCTCATGACAACGTGACGAGAAAGCTGAAAGAACATTTGAAGGAGTGTCTTTTTGTAGTAAAATAACTAGTGATGGGAAATATGTTGTCAGGCAGAAAGGCTCATTTTTAATGCAATTAACTTCCTGACTTTGAGAAATACTTGAACTATCTGAAAGAGAACAAGACACATTTAATATGAGATAAAACACTCACTATGTGGTAAAAAGCAGAGATTTGAGGGTATTGGAGGAAGTAAAGGGGCCATACTCTGCTATCTTTCAGGTTAGTAGTATGTAGCGTCTCTACTTTAAAGAGTCCTCTCCTGCTGATGTTCAGGTGTATATCAGTATGTAGCGTCTCTACTTTAAAGAGTCCTCTCCTGCTGATGTTCAGGTGTATATCAGTATGTAGTGTCTCTACTTTAAAGAGTCCTCTCCTGCTGATGTTCAGGTGTATATCAGTATGTAGTGTCTCTACTTTAAAGAGTCCTCTCCTGCTGATGTCCAGGTGTATATCAGTATGTAGTGTCTCTACTTTAAAGAGTTCTCTCCTGCTGATGTTCAGGTGTATATCAGTATGTAGTGTCTCTACTTTAAAGAGTCCTCTCCTGCTGATGTTCAGGTGTATATCAGTATGTAGTGTCTCTACTTTAAAGAGTTCTCTCCTGCTGATGTTCAGGTGTATATCAGTATGTAGTGTCTCTACTTTAAAGAGTCCTCTCCTGCTGAAGTTCAGGTGTATATCAGTATGTAGTGTCTCTACTTTAAAGAGTCCTCTCCTGCTGATGTTCAGGTGTATATCAGTATGTAGTGTCTCTACTTTAAAGAGTCCTCTCCTGCTGATGTTCAGGTGTATATCAGTATGTAGTGTCTCTACTTTAAAGAGTCCTCTCCTGCTGATGTTCAGGTGTATATCAGTATGTAGTGTCTCTACTTTAAAGAGTCCTCTCCTGCTGATGTTCAGGTGTATATCAGTATGTAGTGTCTCTACTTTAAAGAGTCCTCTCCTGCTGATGTTCAGGTGTATATCAGTATGTAGTGTCTCTACTTTAAAGAGTCCTCTCCTGCTGATGTTCAGGTGTATATCAGTATGTAGTGTCTCTACTTTAAAGAGTCCTCTCCTGCTGATGTCCAGGTGTATATCAGTATGTAGTGTCTCTACTTTAAAGAGTCCTCTCCTGCTGATGTTCAGGTGTATATCAGTATGTAGTGTCTCTACTTTAAAGAGTCCTCTCCTACTGATGTCCAGGTGTATATCAGTATGTAGTGTCTCTACTTTAAAGAGTTCTCTCCTGCTGATGTTCAGGTGTATATCAGTATGTAGTGTCTCTACTTTAAAGAGTCCTCTCCTGCTGATGTTCAGGTGTATATCAGTATGTAGTGTCTCTACTTTAAAGAGTTCTCTCCTGCTGATGTTCAGGTGTATATCAGTATGTAGTGTCTCTACTTTAAAGAGTCCTCTCCTGCTGAAGTTCAGGTGTATATCAGTATGTAGTGTCTCTACTTTAAAGAGTCCTCTCCTGCTGATGTTCAGGTGTATATCAGTATGTAGTGTCTCTACTTTAAAGAGTCCTCTCCTGCTGATGTTCAGGTGTATATCAGTATGTAGTGTCTCTACTTTAAAGAGTCATCTCCTGCTGATGTTCAGGTGTATATCAGTATGTAGTGTCTCTACTTTAAGAGTCCTCCCCTGCTGATATTCAGGTGTATATCAGTATGTAGTGTCTCTACTTTAAAGAGTCCTCTCCTGCTGATGTTCAGGTGTATATCAGTATGTAGTGTCTCTACTTAAAGAGTCCTCTCCTGCTGATGTTCAGGTGTATATCAGTATGTAGTGTCTCTACTTTAAAGAGTCCTCTCCTGCTGATGTTCAGGTGTATATCAGTATGTAGTGTCTCTACTTTAAAGAGTTCTCTCCTGCTGATGTTCAGGTGTATATCAGTATGTAGTGTCTCTACTTTAAAGAGTCCTCTCCTGCTGAAGTTCAGGTGTATATCAGTATGTAGTGTCTCTACTTTAAAGAGTCCTCTCCTGCTGATGTTCAGGTGTATATCAGTATGTAGTGTCTCTACTTTAAAGAGTCCTCTCCTGCTGATGCTCAGGTGTATATCAGTATGTAGTGTCTCTACTTTAAAGAGTCCTCTCCTGCTGATGTCCAGGTGTATATCAATATGTAGTGTCTCTACTTTAAAGAGTCCTCTCCTGCTGATGTTCAGGTGTATATCAGTATGTAGTGGCTCTACTTTAAAGAGTCCTCTCCTGCTGATGTTCAGGTGTATATCAGTATGTAGTGTCTCTACTTTAAAGAGTCCTCTCCTGCTGATGTTCAGGTGTATATCAGTATGTAGTGTCTCTACTTTAAAGAGTCCTCTCCTGCTGATGTTCAGGTGTATATCAGTATGTTGTGTCTCTACTTTAAAGAGTCCTCTCCTGCTGATGTTCAGGTGTATATCAGTATGTAGTGTCTCTACTTTAAAGAGTCCTCTCCTGCTGATGTTCAGGTGTATATCAGTATGTAGGTGTCTCTACTTTAAAGAGTCCTCTCCTGCTGATGTTCAGGTGTATATCAGTATGTTGTGTCTCTACTTTAAAGAGTCCTCTCCTGCTGATGTTCAGGTTGTATATCAGTATGTAGTGTCTCTACTTTAAAGAGTCCTCTCCTGCTGATGCTCAGGTGTATATCAGTATGTAGTGTCTCTACTTTAAAGAGTCCTCTCCTGCTGATGTCCAGGTGTATATCAGTATGTAGTGTCTCTACTTTAAAGAGTCCTCTCCTGCTGATGTTCAGGTGTATATCAGTATGTATGGTCTCTACTTTAAAGAGTCATCTCCTGCTGAGTTTCAGGTGTATATCAGTATGTAGTGTCTCTACTTTAAAGAGTCCTCTCCTGCTGATGTTTCAGGTGTATATCAGTATGTAGTGTCTCTACTTTAAAGAGTCCTCTCCTGCTGATGTTCAGGTGTATATCAGTATGTAGTGTCTCTACTTTAAAGAGTCCTCTCCTGCTGATGTTCAGGTGTATATCAGTATGTAGTGTCTCTACTTTAAAGAGTCCTCTCCTGCTGATGTTCAGGTGTATATCAGTATGTAGTGTCTCTACATGTCTCCATGCTTTAATGTTCAAAAAGCTCTTTATTGTTTTCATACTGCCTGTGCTGCAGCACCTCTTTTCACCCTCTGTCTGAAACCAGAGCCCAGTCTGCTCCGATTGGTTAGCTGGCCGGCTCTGTTATGATTGGTCAACCGCGCAGAGATGTCCCGCCCCTTAGTCTGTCACGTACAATGTGTTGGAGAGCTAGCCAATAGAAGGGCGAGTGTTATGTCACTTTGTTCTGGAAGTAAACAAAGTTACATAACACTCATTTAAAAAACAAATTATTTATATTTAATATATCTGGTGTCAGGACAGACTCTCTATCTAATTACATTTGTATGCTTCCCCTTCACATTATTTCACATGGGTTTAGGTCATGTGACCAACCAATATGTTTCCAATGTGAGCCTCAAATGTTTCTTCAGGGACCATTGTCTAGTCTAAAGATGGTGTGACTTTAATCAAAAACTGTTAATCTAATAAAGCTGAAAACACCCTGAAATTAAAGCTGAGTCTTGACATTTAAACCTCACAGTTAATGGTTTATGTATTGACTTTTCCTTCATTCGTTTGACCTGGGTTCAGAGTTGGT